TGTGTTTTTCATTACAAATGAGTCTTTCCTCCATAGATGAATTCCTATCTTTTATGGAGATGTCATTTGCCTTTAAGATCCAGCAATTTTTTATTTTATCATCATGCTTTAGAATTTAAATTATTTTCTAGCATTTAGGTATCAGGGATGCATAGGATAGAAATTGTTTTTTGTTTCATTCAAAAGAAAACTTTTACCTTCACTATGGGATATATATTAAAATATAAACTGTAACATAATTTTAGATGGTTTGACTCCTTTCTAGCCCCTAAATTTAAATTCTGTTTCGTGCTCTTTGGCTTCATAATCTTCTGGGGTCTTTTTGTGATGAGAGCAGTAATTTATAAATTCAGATATTTTGGAACTGGTCTCTAATAGCTATTTATAATATGCGTGGGTCCATCCTATGTCATTGTTGAGGCTAGTTCTCTTTTGTTAGTTCTTTGAACTATACTCAGTTGTGTAGTTTCCTTTGGCTAAATTGTGAAGCAGTATGTGATAACTTTTCTGTTTGTGACTTCAGCCTGTGATTTTTAGGCCAAGTGCTAAATATAATCACTAGAATATCAATTCAGCTTCTACATGTTCCTCAAGTATTTTTTTAATGTTTTAAGAAAAAGTAGAGTTGGGTTTTTTTTTTTTAATTGTACATTTTGTTTTAGCAAATCAGGAAGGGATTTCTTTTTTTTTTGTAAGGCAGTTGGGGTTAAGTGACTTGCCCAGGGTCACACAACTAGTAAATGTCAAGTGTTTGGTCTGAGCCCGGATTTTGAACTCAGGTCCTCCTGACTCCAGGGCTGGTGCTCCACCTAGCTACCCCCTTCAGGAAGGGATTTCTTAACTTTCCATTCACTCCTCTCTTATGCTTTGGTAGTATAGTTTTCATAAAAATTTCTTTAGGTGCCTTAAGAACTTTACTTACATAATCATACTGAAGGTATAATCTCTAATTGTTTCTTTTTAAGTCCTGTCAAACCTGTTGGTAGTCAGCCTAATTTTAGGTTTATAACTGGAAAGATAATATAGATTATTTGCCTTGTTTGTTACGTCAGTAAGTTTTTGTTAGCTGCCCATTATATGCAAGGTAATACTACTTTTTATTCCTTTTTTTTTTTTTTTTTTTGGTGAGGCAGTCAGGGTTAAGTGACTTGCCCAGAGTCAAACAGTTAGTGAGTGTTATGTATCTAAGGTCAGATTTGAACTCAGGTCCTCCTGACTCCAGGACCGGTGCTTTATCCACTGCACCACCTACCTGCCCCTACAGTTGATTATCTTTACGATGTTGCTGTTACTGTGTAAATTATTCTCCTGACTCTACTCATTTCACTTTGCATCAGTTCATATAAGTCTTATCGAGTTTTTCTGAAACCATCCCCTTCATTTTTTATAGCACAGTAGTATTCCATCGCATCCGTATATTCTGTTATTCGTCTATTCCCCAGTTGATGGTCATGCCCTTAGTTTCCAATTCTTTGACACCACAAAAAGAATTGCTATAAATATCTTTAAACATATGAATCCTTTTCCTTTTAAAAAAAAACTTTGTTTATATGTGCATTTACATATGTATTTGTGTGTGTGTATGTGTATTTATCTTTAGGGTATAAAGCTTGTATGGTATTGCTGGGTCAAAGGGTTTGCACAGTTTGTTGATTTTGGGGCATAGTTCCAAATTGTTCTGAAGAATGGTTGGACTAGTTCATAGCTCCACCAGCAGTGTATTAGTGTACTTCTTTTCCCACTTCCACTCCAGCAGTTGTCAGTTTTCTTTTCTGTCATAGTAACCAATCTGATAGGTACAAAGTAGTACCTCAGAATTGTTTTAATTTGCATTTTTCTAATTATTAGTGATTTAGAACATTTTTCATATGATGATAGCTTAAATTTCTTCCTCTAAAAACTACCTGTTTATATCCCTTGACCATTTAGCAATTAGAGAATGGTTCTTATTCTTACAAATTTGACTCAGTTTCCCATATACTTGCTGCAAGGATTTTTTCCCCAATTTCCTGCTTTTCTTCTGATTTTGGCTACATTGGTTTTATGTAAGAACTTTAATTTTATGTAATCAGAATTACAATTAGGAAAAAATGTTAACTAGCCAGTGAACCAAATATTCAAACAAATTCCATTTGCAACTTAACCTAATTAGACATTAAGGATCTTCCTGGATGAAACTTTTGGAAAATGCTAACTCTTATAAAATATGCAGCCTGAATTTTAAAGCTATATTAGACTGTAGGTACATTGTAGGCAAAGTAGCAGCATCATTATGTCCCAAGTTTTCATTTTTTTACATAATATTTTAAGTTCGATATTTTCTCTCTTCCTTCATCACCTCCCCCTCCTTGAGACAGTAAGCATTTCAATATAGTTTTTTTATGTTCAGTCATGCAAAACATATTACCATATTAGTCACGTTGTGAAAGAAAACAGACCCAAAGGGGGGAAAATAAAGAAAGTTAAAAAATAGTATACTCCAATCTGCATTCAGACTCCCATTAGTTCTTTCTCTGGAGGTAGATAGTGTTTTTTATCATGAATGCTTTGGAGTCTTGGATCATTCCATTGCTGAGAATAACTAAGTCATTCACAATTGATTATAGTACAGTATTGTTTTTCTTCTCCTTGACCTAAATTTCTCAAATGCAGCCTTATTGTTCCCCTAGGAACTTGAGAGAAATATATATATATTTGAGGCGTGAGCAATTTTTAATCCTGATAATAAGGAATATCTTGGGATTAATCACTTTATCTTTTAAGTCTTACAGTTGTTGCTTAGTCTTTCAGTGGTGTCCAACTTTTCATGACTCCATGTACCATCCTGTCCATGGGGCTTTCTTGGCAAGGATACTGGACTAGTTTGTCATTTCCTTCTTCAGTGGATTAAGGCAAATGGAGGTTAAGTGACTTGCCCACACTCACACAGGTAGTGAAAGTGTCTGAGGTAGGATTTGAATTCAGGCCTTCCTTACTCCAGGCCCAGTGCCCTTTCCACTGAGCAATCTAGCTGCCCCAAGTCTTTCAGTTTCATTTTATATATACCATATTTAGTATCTACCTCCTAGGTTTGGGTCCCACCTATGGGAATAAATAGTAATTCAGTGTCACCCATAGTAAATTCTGACAGTCTTCTTTCACATTTGACTACTTCATTTGATTTCTTGTTTTGTTGACTTCTTGTACTCACACATTTATCCAATAGAAAGTGAAAACCAAATCATTAAACTCAAGGTGGATTTAGCAATGATGCTTTTTTGCAGTTGGAGAAGTAGGTTACAGTGTGTCAAGGATCAGGATGGGAAAATTAAACAACTTTCCAGATTTTTCTTGAGTTAGATCTCCAAAATGTGGCTTTATTATTTTATTTTAAACTAATTTTAGGAATTAGATATACCCATGTTAAAATATAAGAACAAAAGCATGTTCCAAAGCCAAATATAAATGATTTTGACGTTGTCTATAAATTTTGTCCTCATTTTTGTGGATGATTTAAATTGACTATAAATTGCATGATGTGCTACTGCAGCTAGATGGAGTCAGAACTTTTATTTCTTTTAAATGAGGAGATACAAAATAATAAAAAATTAAATTAAACCCTTCTTTTTTTTGGCAAGGCAATTGGGATTAAGTGACTAGCCCAGAGTCACACAACTAGTAAGTGTTATATGTCTGAGGCCAGATTTGGACTCAGGTACTCCTTACTCCGGGGCCAGTGTTCTATCCACTATGCCACCTAGCTGCCCCTAAACCTTTCTTTAAAGAATGGCATTATAGCCATAAGTCCAGTTTAAAATATTTTAGAGTTCACATCTTGCATTTAGTTTTCACTTTTCACTTGCTAACTACCAGATCAGATAGAGATGCTTTATTGCCAGAGATTTCTCTTAATTTAGATACACAGTCAAATAAAATTAAAAACTCTATAACTTTCCTTAAAAGATATTAAATGCATATATAAAGTACTACACAATCAGAGGTGAAGTAGATGTTTGATCACTTCTATGTTTTGTTTTTTTGATCTAGCAGAATTTATCCCAAAGCTGAAATGTGGTTCCCATCTAACAAAACACTGCTATTTATCTTTATTGAAATATTCTAGTATCTGAAAGTTTGGATTTCAGAGTCAGAAAGTTCAGTTCAGGTTCAGAAGAGGAACACCAAATTTGTCTTCTTGATTTCTAAGAAAACTAAAGAATAAGAAGACGAGAGCACTGATCAACTTTTCTAGATGTCATTTCTTGTGTATGTGTGGAATAAGAGCTTGATAAAGACATTCTCACTTCTTTTGGGGTGACATTCCCCATCATTAATTACAATATAGTCAGAGCAAGCCCATTTTCAATGAAATTTAGTCTTAGGCAGCAAGATTGGGAGATGTTTTTTCATTCTTGACAAGTGCTGGTAAAATTCAATCATTTCTGTTGCTACACTGCTTTCTCTGTTGGCTACTCAAATTTTTCTTTAAAAAAAAACATTGCTTGTTGGGACTTAATATTCTCTTTCTTCCCCATTTCTTCATAATTTACTTGTTTGTCTTTACCAGTCAAACCCAAGAAACAATGTGGGCTTTTGAAAAATTCAGACCTTTCTAATTGCCTCACAGGGCTAAGGTTCCTTTTTATAGGACATAGTTTAATAGTTTGAGAAATAATTATCACAAGGTAGCTTAGAGTTAATTGGGTGGAATTTTTGGATTAGTTGGAATATGAGTATTATCCCTAAATAGGTATTTCTTGATGTGCAAAGGTGAGATTTCTGTTAAAATGTTATATTGTGTCATGTGCTTTGTACTTCATTTACTCTGCTTGTTTTCTTGAGATGAGTTGGATTTGGGAGTAGAGAAGAATCAGGTAGGTAATGCCAGATGAATTTTAAAAATATATTTTGATTAAAGATCTGGCTATATTTGATACACATGAATTTCAAGATAGTACTATGTATCAAATAGAGGCTTTTGATTAGTTGACACTGATATGTGATTCTTTTTATTATAACAGGAGCATGAATCTGAAGGTGGGAGAACTCCTTTAATGAAAGCTGCCAGAGCTGGTCATTTGTGTACTGTACAATTTCTTATTAGCAAAGGTAAAGCACTGGTAATTGTTTCTAAAACTCTACAAGGTAATTCTGAATTCTGCTCAAGTGTCAGGATACTTTATTGTCCATAATCAGTCTGGTTTTAAAACCCATAAATTTATTCTATATTTAGTCTTTTTTTTTAAAGTAGGTGTGGTTAAATTTAATCAGTTTGCGTGCAGATTTTGTGCCAGTTAAAAGAAACTGCATCTACACGGTTCAGTAACAAGTCTACAAAAGCTTTGTTGTCTTACCACAAAGAATTTTGAGTTAGACAAAATTATCTGTGTGGATCTTAATTGAAGAAGACAGCTGGTGAGATCCAAAGCCTCACTCTGTAGGCAGCTCTGGCTATGGTTATGAAAAGTAGGATAAGGTTGCTTGTAGTCTTCTTCTGTAACAACTTCTAATCTTTACTTCTAATAATGAAATTCACTTAATAAGGATACCTACATTTATTAATGACTAGTAAAAACAGTATCCTATATAAGTGTACCTAAGGGATTGGTGTTCTAGCGAGAATAACATTGCCTTACTAGCTAATTTCTGCCATATAGTAAGGTATGAAATTAACATGCTTACATTTAGAAACATAAGGATATTGTTTTTCGTACTGCTATTACTTAAAGAAGTACTAAAAACAACATTCCCTTTGTCTCTGTGAACGTTTTAATCTGGGACATGTTGTCTTGCCAGAAAGTTATGATGAGAATCATTTATAATAGAAGGAAGGTAGGACACAGGAATACGTGTATTTGTTTTCTTTTTAGGTAGCTCATAGATGACACAGCTGCTTTTTTTTTCATAGTCCAAAAAGCAATATTTAAAGAGTCATTAAAGAAAACTGGAACTATTTGCAAAGATATTGCCTGTTAAATGACCCCAACACATTTTTACTTTTAGCTCTCCTTTATTTTCTGTTTAATTATACAAGACTATTCAACAACTCAGTTTAAAAGAATCTAAAAGTAATTTTAAATATTTGGAGTTTTTTAAACTGTTTGGCGTTTTGGAGTTTTTAAAAAGTAGTCACCAGAGTAGTTAAGCTATTTATTGTGCAGGATTATATTGCTCTTTAATTTTTTTTTCTATTCTTTTTCCTGTAATTCCTTTTGCTTGCTTCCTGTAACTTGCTTCTGAGGCTTAATAAAGTCTTTATATTCTAGTAGTTAACCTAAAAATGTTTACTAAACATTTTAAGAACTCTAGACAAAAATGCTACCTTGATGCACAGGATTGATCTCTATTGACTCAATTTAACAAATCATTGATCTTATATATTTTCAATTTTGAGAATTTTACTTTCTCTGAGCAGTTCTGATTTGTTTCATTTTAAAACACAATTTTACTTTTTGTCATATTTGTTTCTTTATTCATATAGGTGCTAATGTGAATAGAGCTACAGCTAATAATGACCATACAGTAGTGTCACTGGCATGTGCAGGAGGCCATCTGGCAGTTGTTGAACTACTCCTGGCCCATGGAGCTGACCCTACTCATCGACTCAAGGTATTTTATTTTACATTTATATGGATTTAGGTCCACTCAGTGCTAGGAACGCAGATGCTTAATAAATTATTTTAAAATAAATAAATTATTCCTAATTCAGTGTTTGACTGAGAAGTCCTATTTCTAAAGTCGTTGATTCTGAGGTGCTAAATTTATAGCAGATAACTTCATTCGTTCTCGATCTTGTAATCTTCAGATTTTGGCTTAAAAACACACACTGAATTAATTTTGGTGGTAATTCTCTTCTTAGGATGGCTCCACAATGCTTATTGAAGCTGCAAAGGGTGGTCATACCAATGTTGTTTCTTATTTGCTTGATTATCCAAACAACATTCTCTCAGTTCCTGCCACAGACATGTCTCAGCTTACCCCACCTTCTCAGGATCAATCTCAGGTAAATGATAAAATTAAGTTTAATTGAGAATATAAATATTATTAAAATTGAATTGATTTCAAAAATAACTGCTATGTTTTTTCTTGTTGTGTTGAAATACACATGACTGTAAAGTCTTTGACCAGTGTCTTGGTCTATGGTAAATGGAAAGGATAGTGTTCTCATTTTTTCAAGTGCTTAGTGTAATGATATTTGAAGCATTAATATCTTTTTATTTGTTTCTTAACCTCTTTTATTAACTTAAATAGTTTTCTATTCAAAACAAATTTCCTTAGGGGAAGATATAAATGTTGGAGAAAATCTTTATACTGAGAGATGCTTCAAAGACAATAGCAGTCAAATATTTTCTTAATTTGGGGAGTTTGTCATATTGAAGTCAGTTTTCCTGATTTTGTATCAGCAATTTGACTGTACCTAAATCCAAGCTGCCAGGAAGAAAGCTTTTTTCATTAATAACCAAGAAACGTGTGCAGTCTTTGAATATATCTTTCAAAAATATTAGTTATCCAGGTGATGTCCATGTTTGGCCATCTAGTAAGTATTAATTATCTTGATCAGTTGTATTAGAAGCACCATTAAAATGGCTCTCAGCAGGTGTTAAGGGCTATTCAAAAAAATGGAGGGAAACATACAGAAACTAATGAATTCCTGAACTCTGTTTTTATAAAATGAGAAAATATTTTAAGTTACTTGGATAGAAAATTGACCATGGGTAAGTTAAGCAATGAATATGTAACATGTTCCTAACTGAAAGTTAAACCAAGCTAGGGTGCCCAGTCTATGTGTCTGTGTGTAAGTAAGTAAAAAGTTTTTCATTTTATGGGGAATTAGGATGCTTTGTGGCATCTGAACTCCATAGAGGATTAAGGATTATACTTGTGAACCATCCTACAGCCCTTTTCTTAGTTATGGATTCACTAAGCACTTCTAGAATGAATAGGTATAATACTCTAAGAAACCATTCCTCTTTGAGGTTAGCATCTTAAGGAAATAAAAACTTAATAATGTGAAATATTATGGTCGTAATGAACTGAACTTAAAATGAACATTCTTGAGGTGAATTGTGAACATATGTAAATTTGTAGTGCTGTTATGTTACCCAAACTGAGGTGAGTTTTTTCTGAGTTGACTTTTTAGGTTCCACGTGTACCAGTGCATGCACTTGCCATGGTTGTACCTCCCCAGGAACCTGATAGAGCCCCTCAAGATAGCTCCCCAACAGTCTTGGGAGTACAGAAAGGTTAGTATTTAAAATTTTATCATATAGTTTATTGCTGAACTACTTTAAGAAACTCTTGGATAGTGTTTTAATTTTACTTGGTATTCAACATTAAGAGTCAGCTTGATGTGGTGGATAGAGAATCTAAAAGTATGGAAGACCTGGATTCTAGTCCTACCTTTATTATGTATTGGCTGTGTGACCCTGAGCAAATCATTTAATCTTTCAGTGGCCCTTGGAACCCGATGATACTCTTAAACTGGAGAATAATTTGCATTTCTGCGTATAAGGAGTTTCCTCCTCAGTTTCCTAATTAATGACACCCCCAGACACAATAAAGAAAAAGAAAAGATAGAAATGCAGGAAAAAAGTACAAAGAAAAGTAGTAGAAAAAACATATTGCCAAGAAAAGTAACTTTGTTTAGTATGTAACTGCCAAGCTTAGTAGTATAAGTAGTTAAACCATTCTTGGTTGATTATACTAAAATTTGTTCAGTATTTTTTTCACTTTTAATTTTTTGGTTAATCAACTATGTAGTATGATGAAAGAAAAATAGACTATTGATCTTGCACATTCCTGATATTATAAATATGAATTCACTTTGGCAAATGAGAAGTTTTGAGTATACTTTCTTTTACAAGATTGAAATAATGAAATAGCTTCCATGAATATGTAAACCTAGAAGTTTGACTATGGGGAAATAGGTAGATAAATCCAATTAAGTTACACGAGATGGGGTTCTGTACACTATTTAAAGGACATGTACTTATGGGCTCTGACATTTACTTGTTTTCGTGCTTTGCTTCATATGTATAAACTTAAGCTTTCCAATATTTATCTGTAAATGTGTTGAATGTGTTTGTTACAAGGGAAGGTTCTTTTGGGGAGAGTCATTGGAAGGTAACAGTAATATAAAACAAAAAAGGGAAAGAGCATCAGTAAAACATTTTCTAAACATGATATTTTTCTAAAATAGGGAAAAGTGGTTGCATTATAGGATGTTCCAAACTAGAAAAAAAAATTGTAATCCTGCTGCAGGATATTTCAGATAATGCCCAGATATAGTTTAAAATGTGAAATCATTTTATGTTTTATGAGCAGATCTTAACATCCTGATGATGCCCTAATTTCTTAAGCAGAAAAATAGATATGGGGAGACATGTAGCAACAGAGGAAGATACTTTTCAAGGCATGTGGATTTTTGTAATTAGAATAAAGAACTTAACAAAGGTTTAACATACCTTCTCAATTTGTATTTGGGAGTATAGTCTTTTTCATCAATCTTGATTCCATTAATTTGAGCTTTTCTACTTGAAAACTGAAGTAATAAAAATTTTCAGAAAATAAATTTTTTACCCAGGTAATACATTGCAGTTTAAATAGAGACTCCATTCATTGCTAGTTGACTGTTTTTAGAGTATTTAAATTGATATTCCTCTGTTTTTAACCACTTAACACGTAGTATAGGGGAAAGAACAGTACATTTGGAGTCAGATCTAAGTTCAAATCCTGGCTTTGCCATCTGTGTGCCCTTGAACAAGATACTTCGTATTTCAGGGCCTTAGTTTCCTCATTTATAGAAAGGATTTTGGACTAAATAACTTTTCAGTCCTCTCTAGCTCTAAATCTGTGATTGTGACAGAATAGGGTGATTATATAGGTACTAATTAACTAGGACAACCATTGCTATTAAGTAAAGCACATTTGTATATTGGAAACAGAATCATCAGAGTGAAAACACAAATGAAAAATGTCCTAAGTATGCTCAGAAGTGCATACAAGAGAACTTTAGGACACTTCAAAAGTCTTCTGTCAAAAATAAAGTTTTTCAAAAACCGATGTACATACAGGTAACCTGATTTTTGGTAGTTCATTGAATCACTTCTTTTGAATAGGAAGTAGCACTGCTGAGTTGAATGAAAGTAAAATAAGTCTTCTTAGAATGTTCTTTGTAAATTACCAAGCCAGAGAAAGTTAATTGTCTTGGCCCTAATGTCTAAGGGTAGTTTCAAGCATAATAAACACTTGACCAAGACAAACTTTTGATGTTACTTTGCATTGCATCATACATGTAAATGTACCATAGGAAAATGTATTACCAGGAAAAATCTTTTGATAGAAAATACATGATGGTAATAACTTGCACATTCAGAAAAGCTAGCTATATATGTATGTATGTGTGTGTGTGTGGGTTTTTATATATATATATATATATTTTTGGGGGGGGGGTGAGGCAATCAGAGTTAAGTGACTTGCCCAGGGTCACATACAGCTAGTAAGTGTTCACCTAGCTGCCCCTATATATATTCTTAATGATTAGAGATTTATAATTGTTTTTTCTCACTTAGTAAAATCCATTGTCTCAGTTTTCTGCACTTTTAATATCTTCCACTTTTATTACCTGCTTCCCAAAGTGTCTCAAAGGAAGTTAACTTCAAATGATGAAATAGCTCTTTTGTTCATTTTTTCCCTCTTATTTTAGTCAAGTCCATAAATTCCTAGTGTTTTTTCTCATCTTCCAGGATCCCCCTTCTGCCTTTCTCTTTCAGGAATCATGCTTTTAAATACTTTTCATATTTCTTTATCTAGCGATCTGATAGGCATTAGTATTATCTCTGCAGTTATCATTTATTCTCTTTCCCACTATTCTTTCACAGTTCATATTCTTTCTACCCAGGTCCTCTTTTTTCCCCTTATTCCTCTAATTTAATCATTTTTTCACTCCTTTTCTACCTAAATATTTAGTGCCTAATGATTCAGCATTTTATTACAGCCACAATCAACACTACTATTTAAACATGAACAACTGTCTGAAAATGACATTCTTAGTTGAAGGAATTTTTAGTGTTGTCTGTTTTTACTAACTGGAGATTAGTTTTACTACCCAACCAGCTCTATAAAAATGTACTTGTATACATGTAAGAGGATTACCAAACTCCCTTAAAGACTCAGTGAGATTGTTAGAAGGATATTGCTAAATACGCTAAAACACTTTTGCCTTCCAAATCCTAATAATCATATTCTTTGGCATTAAGCTTTATATATGAATGAAATCACTTCTTTCCCTTTACCTGTTAATAGCAAGGTCTGAAGAGACATGCTGAAGGAACAAACTTAACTGATATCCATTGAAAGTCCTTTTGCACCAATCACTTACTAAAGCATGAGAATGGTATCTGGCTTCCTCATTTAAAATATGTGTTTTGTTTGTTTTTAAAATGCAGTTTGTGTGTGTGTGTGTGTGTGTGTGTGTGTGTGTGTGTGTGTGTGTGTGT